GTGGGAGTGAGTAGAAGGAAGGAGAAAGAAAGACAGGAAGGAAGGAAAGGAAATAAAAAGTGAAAAGAAGGAGGGAGGAAAAGAGGAAGGAGGGTGAAAGGAAGGAGAGGAATGAAAGAAAATAAGGAAGGGAGGGAGGAAACGAAGGAAAGAAGAAAAGAGGAAGGGAGGAAGGAAAGAAAAGGGGAAGGAGGATGAAAGGAAAGAGGAATGAAAGAAGATAAAAAAGGATGGATGGAAGGAAAGAAGGGAGGAAGGAAAGAAAAAGGGAAGGAGGAAAGGAAGGAGAGGAATAAAAGAAGATAAAGAGGAAGGGGGAAGGAAGAAAAGAGGCAGGGAGGAAGGAAAGAAAAGCGGAAGGAGGATGAAAGGAAGGAGAGGAATGAAAGAAGATAAAAAGGATGGATGGAAGGAAGGAAGGAAAGAAGAAGGAATAAAGGAAAGGAAGGGAAGAACAGGAAGGGAGGAAGCAAAGAGGATAAAAAAGAGGAAGAAAGGAATGGAGGACATGGGAATGAGAAGGAAGGAGAAAGGAAGGACAGGAATGAAGGAAAGGAAATAAAAAGAGGGAGGGAGGAAAGAAAAGGGGAAGGAGGATGAAAGGAAGGAGAGGAATGAAAGAAGATAAAGAGGATGGAAGGAAGGAAGGAAGAAAAGAGGAAGGGAGAAAGGAAAGGGGAAGGAGGGTAAAAGGAAGTAGAGGAAGGAAAGAATATAAAGAAAGGAAGGAAGGAAGGAAGGAAGGAAGTAGAGTGGCTTAAACTAACGCCACCCAACTACTTCTATTGTGGGAATGCCTAAAACCTTGTCAGCTAACCCATTTCCACTCACCCGGTCCTCCAGGCCAAAGAGCCGGAGAGAAAGAACAGCTGCCAAAACAAAGCCAGCAAGGACAGAACTCGCTGGCACAGCCAGGCCTAAGCCCCTAAAAGGACCCGATTGGCTGTGTCAATGCAGTCCAGCTCGGGGCGGATTTGCTCCTTTATCTGGCCAGTGGGAGAGGCTTCGTGACATCACAGGCCTCTTCTGCCTCAAGGGCTGATGGGAAATATACTCAGCAAAAGCTGGGAGTGAGGGTGGCATGCTTTACTCAGATAACAGATCATCAGAGTCGAAAGGGGACCTTATAGGTCATGTAGTCCAACCCCCTACACCATTTCTGACAACCCCCCCCCAACATACACAAAAAATTAGGGGATGATGTAACTGAGTTTGGGTGATTCTGTGCTGCATCCCCCCACAAAATGAGATTTATTTATTTATTTTTTAGAGTCAGCAACAGATGAGACCTCACTCAGGACTAGAAACTTGGCTTTGTCCAATCATGAGGATGAGGGATAATTTATCCAGTTATTGTTATTTTTGTGGAGGATTCCTTTCCTTTTAAGCTTTGGTTTGGGGGTTAATCCCACGGAATCAGAATGAGACAAGGCGCTCCAGTTTTGCAAGCATGGGTGGGTGTTGTCGGCAGCAGCAGCCTGGAGTGCCAATGTGTGACGTGGCCCTGCCACATTTCACATCCAGAGCCCGAAAAGGTATGGAAGGGAGAGGGAGGGGGGCTGTGAAATTTCCACACTCACCCCTCCCTCCAAAATCCAGGAGATTGCTTTTGTCCTATGGAAATGGTGCAGCTGTGCAGGGGCGTTGCTTTTGTTTCCCAGAGATGCAGAGAAACTGTGTGTGTGTGTGTGTGTGTGTGTGTGTGCAAAGCATGGCATGGATTGGACCCTAGCCCACCCCCTTGCCCTTGCTTAGCCCTGAGGTTCATCTGCCTCTCCCCTGCCCTGGGTGGGGTGTGGGGTGTGGGGAAGAAGGCAAGAAAGGGCCTAAAATAAATGAAAGGCGTTTAAAAAAGGAAGGAAGGAAGGAAGGAAGGAAGGAAGGAAGGGGAAAGGAAGGAAGAAAGGAGGGAAGGGAGGAAGGGAAGAAAGAAAAAGAAAGGAAGGAAAGAAGGAAGAAGGAAGGGAAGAAAGGAAAGGAAGAAAGAGATAAAGAAAGAAAGAAAAAGGAAAGAAAGGAAGGAAGGAAGAAGGAAGGGAAGAAAGGAAAGGAAGAAAGAAAGAGAAAGGAAGGAAGGAAAAAAGGAAGGAAGGGAAGAAAGGAAAGGAAAGGAAGAAAGAAAAAAAGAAAGAAAAAAGAAAAAGAAAGAACGAGAGGAAGGAAGGAAAAAAGGAAGGAAAGAAGGAAGGAAGAAGGAAGGGAAGAAAGAAAGGAAAGAAAGAAAAAAAGAAAGAAAGAAAGAAAGAAAAAGAAGGAAAGAAAGAAAGAAAAGAAAGGTGTTAAACAGCAGTTCTCAAAGGAAGGCAAAAATACATCCTGGATATATTATTATTATTTCTCTCCTCCGCTGTCCACGGGTGTGATTGCCACCGGGAGGGAAGGTTGGGTAGGGTCAGCCAAGAGCTGATTTCAAAATGAGAGGATCTGCAAAATC